CGAATATCTCACGGCGCTTCGCGCTTGGTGATGTGAGAGCCTGGTCCGGTGAGAACCCGGTGTGCTCCGTCCCGGCTTTGCAGGGATGCGAGGTCAATGGTCTCACGACTACGGCATGCACGACGATGAGTACAACCCCTACCCCTCCACCCTTTCCCCAATGTGCGGTGCCCCTCTGTTAAAAGCCCCCGAACGCGCTGGTCCTACAGCTCAAGAGGTTCGTCTTCACCCGCAAGGCAAGCAAGATCAAAGACCACATCCAGTTCGCCGATGTCCTCAACCTCTCCGTCTCGGGACCGGAGCGTTCCGCGCTGTACGACCTCACGGGGTGAGCCCTCCTCCTCCCAGCAGACTACTAGCCTTGGCAGGGTTGTTCCATTGAGTAAACATGTTGGATGAAGCATGGATTTGGGGGCAGTTGAGGGTAAGGGTAGGGTCTGCGTACCCTCTCCCTGTTCTGTTTTTCCTCATGAAGTTCTGTGTCGTAATAGTGGAAATCGCGTTGTCGTGAGGACGCACAAAGAGAGGGGAAGGTGTTGCTCACTTCCTTCTCGTCCTGACAATCGAAGGCGAGCATGGCAGGTACAACGCTTGCTTGTCACCGTGAATTGTTTCTTCACTCTCTCGGGCTTATTTTTCTCTTTTTCTGTCGTTCTTCTGCTCGATATCACCGCCGCAAAAAACTTTACAACTGTTTTTAGGGTTGTCGTGCACGCTGGGGGCTCGATGTCGTCCGGCCACTACTACGCCTATGTGAGATCATGCGCCGGGATGTGGGCTAGGATGGACGACTGCTCCGTCTCGAAGGTTCGGTGGCCTCTGTCTTTGTGGCTGATGCGAAACGTCTTGCTGCCTGTTGTTGCCGCTGCTGTTGTTGTTGTCGGTGGTGGTGTGAGTTGTTGAGTGTCGAGGCTAGGCTGGTGGGGCTCGTCCAGCAGTAGGTCGCTTTCATAGCTCTCCGGGGTTGAAAAAATTGTGGCCTTGAAACCGTTTGCTTTCGTTGAGCGCAAGTGGTCATGGCCGTTGTTTTGAGCCATGGCGTATCTTGAGGCTTGAAATAGATGCCTGCCTTTGAGCACCCCTCCCCCGGGTGGTCTAACCGCCAAGTGATTGAAACATGAGCTCGACCCTCCCGCCCCCCGGCTCTCGACCGACGCCTGACGGGCGCCTCCGCCCCCTCACTCGTTCTTATTCTCCTGGCCCCTGGCCGTACCTGTAACCGGAATCTGGCTGTTCCCACGCCACAACGCTGCAGGTCAAGAGGGAGACCGTGCTCAGGGATCAAGCCTACGTCCTCTTCTACACTCGGCGTCCGGCTCCACAGCCCGTCGTGGCTAGCATTCCCCCCGCGCCGTCCCTCTCCCCCGCGGTTAAGGTTTCAAGCACAGCCTCCGCCGCTGTGGCTGGAAAGCCCACTGCAACGGCATCTACAGCCGTTCCTGAGACGAAGCGAATAAAGTTGGTACCCTCGCCGGAGGGGAAGGGGCTCGTCAGTGTGTCACCTCGCCAAGGAGAAGAACGATGCAACGGTAACCGCGGAGGTGTGACTTGGGATGCGTGCGGGTTTGTTAGGGGCAAGTCGGAGTCATGCTGGTAGTTGTCGGCGCTGAGGTATGTGCGGATTTTAAGGGCCAAGGTCTGCTACGTCGGCATGTTGGTAGTTGTGGTGTCGTTCTTGTCGAGCGCAGTCGAGATTTGTGACCATAGCTTAATGCTCAAGATACAACATCCCCTTGGACCGATTTTCATTGCTCGATCAGACTACTCCACGATGGTCAAGAGAACGCCCAAATGAAATGATGATACTTTATCGGAAAGTTCTCGTCGAGAGGGCGGTTCCAAAGGCCGCCATTTTTCGGCATCATCACTGCTCACTCATCACTGCACCCTGCAGGAGTAGGTAGTTGGGCGTTCGAAATCGGCAATCGGGGGTGGTGTCTGATGTGTAGCCCGTCTCTTGGCGAGACCGTCTACACGTGGGCCTGCTGGCCTCCCGCAGACCTATTTTTTCATCCATGAATAGTCCTACTTAGCGCTCCGTCTTCGAACGTTATCGACGTATCGCACGGGAATAGTCCCACTTAGCGCTCCTTCTTCCAATGCTATTGACGTTTCTCTAATTTTACCGACCTCCTCACGTGTGCGTCTGCTCGTTTCTTTGCTGTGAACTGCGTATTCTACGGCTCTACGATATTACCGTATATGTATATATACGGTACCACTGCTGTATACGGTACGGGATGGTTGTGGAACGCAGGCACTTCGGCGGTGCCGGCGACGGAGGCCGAGTCAGGCGGGGGACCGATCAAGTCCCCACCACCGCGTGCCGTGCCCCCATCAACACCTCTCCATCCCGCAGTCAAGGCTATCGCCACGACCACCACCACCGCCCCAGCGACGACGACGACACCCGTTACACCCGCTGGTGTCCCGCCACCAGCAACAGCCGGCGCCGCGACCTGCGCGACTATGTCATCGCGAGTAAACGGAGGGCCGGCGGTCGCGAGCTCTGTCCCGGTGGAAGCGGCGACAAGCGGCGGTGGCAAGGCGGCGGCGGCGGCGGCGGCGGCGGCGGCGGCGGCAGGGGCAGGGGCGGGCAACGGAGGCGGGGTGGTGGCCCCGTCTCCTCCGGTGGTGGTGGTGGGGCCGGCGGCGGCGGCGGCGGCGTCGAGCACCGAGAGCAAGGGTAGCAGGAAGCGGAGGAGGAAGAGGGAGATGGTTGAGGCGGCCGCGGCGGCTGCTGCCGCTAGCGCGACGGCCGCGGGATCGGGACAGCTCGGAGACGGCGGCGGCAGCGGCGGCAGCGGCGGCGGCGGCGGCGGCGACGACAAAGTCGGTGGTGAGCGCGGAGATGTAGAGAGCTGCAGCAAGAGGCAGAAGAAGCAAGACGGCCGGAGTCCACACGAGGGGCAAGGCGGCGCGGCGAATGACGGTGCTGGGAGCAGTCGCGATCACCGCGCGAACGGTGGAAGCGTGCTCGAAGGGGTAGAGGGGCATCATCATCTTGCCGCGAACGGTACGCCCTCCGGCGAACAGAAGGTAGCGGCAGCACAGCAAGGAGGTGGCCACCAGGAAAATGGGGTCGTGGCCGGTGACTCGAGGAAGGAGCTGGAGAACGGAAGTAGTAGCGGGAAGGATACGAGAGGAGAGGAACGGTTGAACGCCGGCGAGGAGGAGGCGCACGAAAACGCCGCCGACGCCGGCGAGGTGGAAACCCCCGGCGGCAGCAGCAAAAAGAAGCGCAGGAAGAAGAAGAGGAAGAAGCACGAGCAAGACCAACAGGCCGGCGGTGGGGAGGCGGGAGTCGTAGGAGGCGGCGAGCCAGCGGCGGACCCCGTGATCGCGGCCGGCAAGCGTTCCCACCAAGAGGCAACGGCGGGCGTGGACGTTGGCGCCACCGCCATGAACAACAAGAAGCACAAGAACGGAGAGGGCACCTGCGGCGAGGGTGAGAGCCGGAGCGCCTCGGCCATCTCTGGTGCCGGCCTTGAGTCTCGCGAATCGGCGACGGAGGGATCGGCGGCCGTGGCGGCGGACGCGGCAGCGCCGGCGGCGGTAGGGGACGCGAACGGTGGCGGGGACGTTGGGGGGGAAGGCGCGGAGGCAGGAACTACTGCACCATCGGTCTCGGTTGCGGGAAAGGATGATCTCGGGACCCCGGCTGATGCCGCAGCTCCTCACGCCATGCCAGAGGTGAGTCGTCGGCAGTAAGTAGTTCCTTTGCTTGCTGCGTGGCACTTTACTTTCCAGTATACGGTGCCCTAAAGTCGCAGATTATCGCAGTTTTGCTCACTGGCCTGCCCCACTCCGGCAGACCTCCTCGCCTGGGTTCTTATGTATCGGATGAGAAGCCGTTCAGGATCTCCTCCCGCGAGATCTTGTCGTCTTCCTTTTTGCTCGAATATCCAGGAGGTCTAGATTGACCTAGGCCTTCTGAAATGTCCGAGCAAAACGGATCGACACGAGATCTCTCGAGAGCAAGCGCTGAAGGATCGTCCGGTAGGTATAAACTCAATTGAGGAGGCAATTTACTGAAGGGAGCGGGACGGTTCCGTGAGCAAATCGGGGCACCGTACAGGGCGAAGAGTGGTCACCCCCCCCCTGATAGACTTCCCAAGGCTCGAATGCTCCGTAGCCAAGTGGGTGCGTAAAGAGCCCGATCCGTCTACGGAAAGCCGTCGACGAGGTGTTCCCAAAACCACCAGTTTTGGTGCTATCACACGCTTGGTTGCGAAGCGATCGAGCTCTTAATATCGGTCTGGGGGGTGTGCCATCTCTGGACCTCCTACGGTACTCTACGATTTTTGCCCACCGTACCGGAAGGCACCCTGATCGAGATTGCGAGGAACTCGTCATTGCCGTGAGGGAGGGACTTGATATCCGTGAGGTGATTAGAGGGAAGGCGGCTTATCAAGCTGCAGAAGAACGAGACATGGGCCTCCGCGTCAGCTCGCATGTTGTCGTGCACCTTTTCGCGGCTGATGTTGACTGCTACAAGTCGAACACACCCCGAGTATCAGTTACTCTTGAGTTTTTTGCCGGACGATGCTCTGTTGGATCGAGCTACGTAGGCGCCTTTTTTTGCCAGGACAGGCAGGTGGACTACATGTTTAGCGTGACACATGTTGTCTACAGCTTTGCGTCATATCAAAGGCCTATGGTGCCCATCCCACATTGCCCCGCCATTGCTGTCCGAGTTGAAACAGTGAAACTCGTTTAAACGCAATTTGTGACTGATGTCACCATCGTGGACGTACGGTCTTAGTCATATCATGGAAATTCCGCGTCGTCAACGACACTGTGTTGGCGGCCAATTGTTATCTTATTGATCACAAACCTGCTCTCAACCGCTCGGATGCTTTATTAATCAAGAACGGCCTTTTTCTTGGACAGCGCTTTTTGGGGTCACTCCGAGACGTACTGCTGTCCTCCCAGTCTCACGAGACAGCGGGCGTTGATGAGCAGGACTAGTGAAACCCCAGATCTTCTCAAGCTTTGTCCGTCGCCGACATGTGCTGGCCGCGTGTTCCGAATGGCCTGTTGCCACACCCGGAAAAATGAAATACTTGGAAGTGGCTTCTTGTTTGCGTTGACCTTTGTTTTTCGTTTTTTACGGATGGATTGGCTTAACCGACGGTTTATGGATCGATCTAACCGGCAGGTGACGGGCAACAAGGTGACGGTGCCCTGGCGGCCGGCCAAGCGGAAGAGCCAAGACCTCTTCGGCGAGAAAGTGGGCTTTTGGGGCGACGCGACCGGGGACGAGGAGGGGGGGGGGGGGGGGNGGGGGGGGGGGGGGGGGGGGGGGGGGGGGGGGGGGGGGGGGGGGGGGGGGGGGCGACACGGCCTTGGATAAGGAGGTGAGAGGGTGTGTGTCAGCTGGTGTGTATACTCGTATGAAGGCATGCCGCATTCGGCCTCATCACGCGCAAGACACCTCGATTGTTTCAGGTGTTTCTTGTGCCACGATGTCACGAGGTGCACTACCTGTCAGTCGAGCACACGTACACCCTCCAAAGCCTTATCCGTACCGCCCCCCCGTGTAACACACAACCCCGCATGCAAAATATGCTCCCCCCCCCCCCCCCCCCC